GTGGGTCAGGGGCTACAGTGTCACCTGGCAAGCATGTGTTTGACTCCCCGCTTACACCAGAAGCACCGAACTCCCTGTGGCAGCTCAGTTCCATCCCTGGCACTGCAAGCAATTTCCAGCCACCCCACAGACAGATAGTGTGTGAGCATGAAAAGCAGGACCACTCTACCCAAATGAATCTCATCATCGGCTCCTTCTCACCTTTGAATGTGGCTACTAGAACAATGCCCATTACCTATACGGCTCACGTTACATTCTGTCGGACTGTGTGATTGTAAGGTCATTAATATTGGATTGGGAGAAATCGAGACAGGGTGGAGTTGTACAGCCAGAGAGGCAGCAACAGCAAGCAAGGTATTGGCTTGCACATGCCCAACCCAGGTTTGATCCCTGGCACCTTGTATGGTCCTCTGATGCCTGCCAGGAATGACCTTTGAGCACAGGGCCAGGGGTAAGCCCTGGGAATAGCTGTATGTGGCCACCAAACCAAAACAGGTAGAAAAAGAACCCCCTTGGGCCCATGTTGGTGATCAGATATTCTCCTGGTGGCACATTACAGATGGAAGGCTACCATTCCAAGGGGCACCCCCAGAAAACTTGGATATTACCAGTTCTTTACTCTTGCAATTTCTATCCTCCAAACAGATCTAGCAGCCGCGTGTCCTGGATTAGCTGATGGGAATAATCAATTCAAGATGCGAATTCTAAAGACAAAAGCAGGCAGATGCAATTTTAATGACTTATTTTAATGGATAATGTAAGCTTATATTTCTACCAGTTGGTCATTGACTTAAAAAAAAACCTTTTCCCAACTCTCAGTCAAATGGGAGGTATCTTATTTGCATGAGAGAGAGAGAGAGAGAGAGAGAGAGAGAGAGAGAGAGAGAGAGAAGAAGGAGAGGGAGGTGGAAAGAGAAAGGAAGAGGGAGAGGGCAAGACTTAATTATTTATTTATTTATTTATTTATTGAATCGCTGTGGGAAAAGTTACAAAGCTTTCAGGTTTAGGTCTCGGTCATGCAAGTATCAAACACATTCCCTTTACCAATACTTATTTTTCACCACGAAGAACCCCAGTAGACCCCCACCCCCCAACCGTCCCCAATGTCTGTGGGGGCAGATGAATTCTAGTTAACACTCTGTCTACTTTGACTAGCTTCACTGTTTCGATAAAAGTTGCACCATGATTATTTAGACTTTACCCCCCCCCCCCAAATCAGCCATGCTGAAAAAGCATTGTGAAATTATTTGCTTTCTACAGCTGGGTTCAAGAATTAAATGTTTTGGATTTCTGCTATTTTATTTATTAACCCTGCAAGTATTTCTACTGAGAGTCAGATAATTAAGAGATTGGTCTCTGTGCTTCTGGGGCCGTGGCCGTGCCGGAGAGCCGCTCGTGGGGGGCAACTGGTGACCTCGGTCAGGCGTGAAGGACGGGCCGGAGCGCCCCCCGTCCCATGAGGTATCCCGTCGCTCCCCCACCCCCGGCTCAGACCTGCTCTCCACCAGGCTCCCATGCGGCCGCCACCTTTCTTTCCAGAGAGGAGAGCAAGACTTACTTTTTGTAGATACATTACATCTGCCATATCTTTCTCATTAGCAGCAGGTTACTGAGTATTTCCCAAGTGCCAGGGAACTAGGCTCCAGTCCATGGAATGGAGCAGCTGGGGCATGCCATCAAGGCAGAGAAACGTGCAGCCTGCTTAGCTCGTCTCGGCTCTACAGCTGTGAAGCCATATAGGGTGTTCGGAATCAGTCTTGGTAGGGCTGTTTATGCCTCAGAAATCAGCAAATATTCTAAATTGGGGGTGTTTCCTATTTCTCACCAGAGGGCCGAGTGCCGAACATTTACCAGTACTTTATAAGTGGATATAGAGTTCTGTGTTCTTTTATGGATCAGACTCATTTTAGACAGGACTTTGGGAGGCAGGAAAACCAAGGTGTGGGATGGAGGAGGTCCTCGTTTCTGAATCTGCCAACAGGAGAGGTGAAGTAGAAGGTGCGGTTTGGGCCACATCGGGATGTTCAGAAAGCTCTTCAGATGAATTAGAAAAAAGATCTTCCTCCACTTGCTCCCTCTTTCTTGATTAATGTGCACCCACATGCACAACTGAAAGTGTGGGTTACAATTTTCCAGATAGCAAAGCGGCAGGGCGTTTGCCTTGCATGCAGCCAGCCTGGCCGAGCCAGGTTCGATTCCTCCGCCCCTCTCAGAGAGAGTGGCAAGGTACTGAGAGTATTCAGTATGCCAAACAGCCAGCCTGGCCAAGCCAGGTTCGATTCCTCTGCCCCTCTCAGAGAGCCTGGCAAGCTACCGAGAGTATTCAGTATGCCAAACACAGTAACAAGAAGTCTCACAATGGAGATGTTACTGGGCCCGCTCGAGCAAATCGATGAACAACGGGAGGGCAGTGTTTGTTTGTCGTTTTAAAGACACACAAAAATTAAAAGCTGTGAAGTTTTGACTTGTACAATATCCTAATCTAGCAATCAGATGGGTATGTAAGCTTTTCCAATTGTCTCTCAAACCACAAACAGGCACTATATGCTACACTGGAAGTCTGTCTTGCTGATCCTATATACTTCAGATCCTAAAATACTTCAGAAATTCAAAGACCAAGTTTCAGTTCCTTTGAGCAGACTCCATGGTATGTGGTAGGCCCGAAAATAAGTGAGGCGCTCAACCACCCCATTGAATGAGAGAACTTTCCTTCAAAAAGAAAACTGCCCATAATCAAAGCATTTTAGATCTCAAGCAGATTTTAGGAAGCATGCAACAGTATTTCTCAAAACATATTTGGCATTTCATCATGAACATTGGAAATACCTACTGTTTTTGCTAAAAACCTGGAATCTTGCTAAAACCTGAAATTCATCTGACAGGGCTTGGGAATCTATATTTCACAAGCTTTGAGTAGAGAGGATTCTGCTGTACTTAGCAAATGAATGATCTAATCCTGTTTCATTTTATCCCTTTCATTTTATCGATAAGGGGAACACCTATATAACAAAGAGATCTCCTTTATGAGACCATCTGGTTGGTAGGAGACTCCACCCACTAGGTGAAAAGTAAAACAACTCATACAATTGAGCTTTGGAGAAAATAGAAAACACCCTTTGTTTCAAAGGACGTCAAAGGGTCAACACAGAACTTCAATAAATGATATGTTTTTGATGTGCGTGGCTGCTAGCATATAGGCCCCATCTTACCACAAATTAGTGTGGTTACCTTAAATTGCTAACATGGAAACTCTAACTTTCTACTTCTGAAGATACTAGCTTTAGCAACTCTGTTTTCTTTTTCTAGGTTTCCAAGGTTGATCTTTGGGGACATGATTTTAGAAATGTAATTATAACTCTGGTTTCAAACTTCTGGACCATGTAATCAAACACAGATTGGTCACAGAGAAAACAAGACGGTTCTTAGCTGTGTCTCATCATGAAGGACCGAGGCTAAACCCAGGGCCTGGCTTCATGACTAGTGGCAATTCCCTCTCCATCCCCCCAAATCCAAACAAGACCCATGTCAGCGTCGGACTTAGGGAGGTTTGCAACCAGTCTCTGCAGCGGCATTGTTTTGATCCAATAAAAGAATTTAAATACTTGGACTTATTTTCAGGAAAATGTTTTTATTCGGTGCCATGTATTGTTAGGTGGAGAAAGATTAGATTTAGGAAAAATGCCTAACATGAGAAAGTATCCGCACGCTGCCCAGTATTTCTGCTTAGTTGGAATATCCTGTGGATTATTTATTTGGCAGCATTTATTCTCTATGTATTTAGATTTATAAAGCGTGGATCCAAATGTCCACATTTGCAGCATAACAGCTGCTTCCGAATTTGCGCCAAGAATCTCATTCCCATCTAAAAGGCTGGGTATTTAAAGCTGTAAGTGATTTTGTATTTTTACATAACCTTGTGAGGGTAAAGATGTTATTTCTCAAGGTCAGAGTTTTGAATCCTATCGCAGGATATAATATTTTATTTTATGCATTTTGCTTTTTGGGTCACACCCAGCAATGCACAGGGGTTCCTCCTGGCTCATGCACTCAGGAGTTACTCCTGGCGGTGCTCGGGGGATGGTAGGGGATGCTGGGAATCGAACCGGGGTTGACCGGTGCAAGGCAAACGCCCTACCCGCTGTGCTACTGCTCCAGTCCCAAGGATGTAACATTTTAACTTGTTTTCTTAGAAGATCCTCCAGCCCCCATCTGATTTTCAGAGGGGCCTCTAAAAGCCACCTCTTTCACAACTTCTCAACAGACGCGAGCAGAAGCATCCTGATAAGCCCCTGTGAAAGATCAGATCTTGATGCCAGACTGAATCCTTTGTGCGAGCACCGGCCCCGGGAGCTGGCCCGGGCTCTCCCCTCAGGTGTTCCCAAAGGAGCCGGCTTGCAGCAGTGCCGGATGGCGTCGTCATTCTGGAGGATCCCAGAAAAACGCACAATGTGCAAATGGGTGGGATGCGGAGGGCCGTTCCCTCGGAGGCCTCAAAACCGGAGGGTGCACGGTTCGACCTTCCAGCCACACCCTGCAAGCAACAAGAGTGTGCACCTGGGTGGGGACTGTCAGCAGCAAGGTTCGGAGCCGTCAAGGGTGCCCAGGCAGAGGCTCCCGACGCTTCCTTTGGGTTTTGTCTTCGTTTCCCTTCCCTCCTCCCCCACTTTTCGTGTTTCTGGACTATTCTCCCGTTCTTGGCGCACCCCGGGGGAACCCGGGCGGGCTGGGCGGAGCCGGCCGGGCGCCCCAGGTCCCGTGGCATCGCTCCCCGCGCGGTCCACCGGGCCGACGCGCCTCTGAGCCAACCAAGAGCGCGCCCGGCGCCCCCGCGCCGCCGCGGCCGCCTCTCCGCCGCCGTCCGCCGGGGGGCCCCCGCGCGCGGGCGCGGGCGCGGGCCGGGGCGCGCGGGCCGGGGCGCGCGGAGCCGGGGCGCGCGGGCCGGGGCGCGCGGGGCGGGCCGGGCGCGCACTCGGCGGCGGCGGCGGAGCGGCGGCGGCGGGATGGCCGGGCGCGGGGGCCGGGGGCTGCGGGCCGCGGCGCTGCTGGCCTGCGGCTGGCTGCTGCTGGGCGCGGGCGCGCGGGGCCCGGGGGCGGCGGGCGCGCGGCGGCGGCGGCTGCGGCCCGGGGACGGCGTGGCCCTCGAGTACCACCGCTACCCCGAGCTGCGCGAGGCGCTGGTGGCCGTGTGGCTGCAGTGCGCGGCCGTGGCCAGGATCTACTCGCTGGGCCGCAGCTCCGAGGGCCGCGAGCTCCTGGTCCTCGAGCTGTCCGACAACCCCGGCGTCCACGAGCCCGGTAAGGGCGCGCGCGCGCGTGTGCGTGTGCCTGTGTGTCCGTGTGTGTCCGTGTGTGTCCGTGTGTGCGTGGCAGCCCCGGGGTGAGGCTGCGTGTGTCCGTGTGTGTGCGTGACAGCCCCGGGGTCCACGAGCCGGGTAAGGGCGCGCGCGCGCGTGTGCGTGTGCCTGTGTGTCCGTGTGTGTGCGTGACAGCCCCGGGGTGAGGCTGCGTGTGTCCGTGTGTGTGCGTGACAGCCCCGGGGTCCACGAGCCGGGTAAGGGCGCGCGCGCGCGTGTGCGTGTGCCTGTGTGTCCGTGTGTGTGCGTGACAGCCCCGGGGTGAGGCTGCGTGTGTCCGTGTGTGTGCGTGACAGCCCCGGGGTCCACGAGCCGGGTAAGGGCGCGCGCGCGCGTGTGCGTGTGCCTGTGTGTCCGTGTGTGTGCGTGACAGCCCCGGGGTGAGGCTGCGTGTGTCCTGTGTGTGCGTGACAGCCCCGGGGTAAGGGTGTGTGTGTGTGTGTGTGTGTGTGTGTGTGTGACAACCCCGGCGTCCACGAGCCCGGTAAGGGCGCACGCGCGCGTGTGCGTGTGCCTGTGTCCGTGTGTGTCCGTGTGTGTCTGTGTGTGCGTGGCAGCCCCGGGGTGAGGCTGCGTGTGTCCGTGTGTGTGCGTGACAGCCCCAGGGTGAGGCTGCGTGTGTCCGTGTGTGTGCGTGACAGCCCCGGGGTAAGGGTGTGTGTGTGTGTGTGTGTGACAACCTCGGGGTAAGGGTGTGTGTGTGTGTGACAACCTCGGGGTAAGGGTGTGTGTGTGTCCGTGTGTGTGTGTGTGTGTGTGTGAGACGACCCTGGGGTCCACGAGCATGGTTAGGGCTCTGTGCCCCGCTATTCTCGGGCGTGTCTGCGTGTCGTGCGCGCGGGGGTTGTGTGTGTGGGAAACACACGTCCTAGCAGGGGCTCTGCATCCCCCTATCCCAGTGTGTGCGTGTGTGTGTGTGTGTGTGGGAAACACACGTCCTAGCAGGGGCTCTGCATCCCCCTATCCCAGTGTGTGCGTGTGTGTGTGTGTGTGTGTGGGAAACACACGTCCTAGCAGGGGCTCTGCATCCCCCTATCCCAGTGTGTGCGTGTGTGTGTGGGAAACACACGTCCTAGCAGGGGCTCTGCATCCCCCTATCCCAGTGTGTGTGTGTGTGTGTGGGAAACACACGTCCTAGCAGGGGCTCTGCATCCCCCTATTCCAGTGTGTGCGTGTGCGTGTGTGTGCGTGTGTGGGAAACACACGTCCTAGCAGGGGCTCTGCATCCCCCTATCCCAGTGTGTGCGTGTGTGTGTGGGAAACACACGTCCTAGCAGGGGCTCTGCATCCCCCTATCCCAGTGTGTGCGTGTGTGTGTGTGGGAAACACACGTCCTAGCAGGGGCTCTGCATCCCCCTATCCCAGTGTGTGTGTGTGTGTGTGGGAAACACACGTCCTAGCAGGGGCTCTGCATCCCCCTATTCCAGTGTGTGCGTGTGCGTGTGTGTGCGTGTGTGGGAAACACACGTCCTAGCAGGGGCTCTGCATCCCCCTATCCCAGTGTGTGCGTGTGTGTGTGTGTGGGAAACACACGTCCTAGCAGGGGCTCTGCATCCCCCTATCCCAGTGTGTGCGTGTGTGTGTGTGTGTGTGTGTGGGAAACACACGTCCTAGCAGGGGCTCTGCATCCCCCTATCCCAGTGTGTGCGTGTGTGTGTGGGAAACACACGTCCTAGCAGGGGCTCTGCATCCCCCTATCCCAGTGTGTGTGTGTGTGTGTGGGAAACACACGTCCTAGCAGGGGCTCTGCATCCCCCTATTCCAGTGTGTGCGTGTGCGTGTGTGTGCGTGTGTGGGAAACACACGTCCTAGCAGGGGCTCTGCATCCCCCTATCCCAGTGTGTGCGTGTGTGTGTGGGAAACACACGTCCTAGCAGGGGCTCTGCATCCCCCTATCCCAGTGTGTGCGTGTGTGTGTGTGGGAAACACACGTCCTAGCAGGGGCTCTGCATCCCCCTATCCCAGTGTGTGTGTGTGTGTGTGGGAAACACACGTCCTAGCAGGGGCTCTGCATCCCCCTATTCCAGTGTGTGCGTGTGCGTGTGTGTGCGTGTGTGGGAAACACACGTCCTAGCAGGGGCTCTGCATCCCCCTATCCCAGTGTGTGCGTGTGTGTGTGTGTGGGAAACACACGTCCTAGCAGGGGCTCTGCATCCCCCTATCCCAGTGTGTGCGTGTGTGTGTGGGAAACACACGTCCTAGCAGGGGCTCTGCATCCCCCTATCCCAGTGTGTGTGTGTGTGTGTGGGAAACACACGTCCTAGCAGGGGCTCTGCATCCCCCTATTCCAGTGTGTGCGTGTGCGTGTGTGTGCGTGTGTGGGAAACACACGTCCTAGCAGGGGCTCTGCATCCCCCTATCCCAGTGTGTGCGTGTGTGTGTGGGAAACACACGTCCTAGCAGGGGCTCTGCATCCCCCTATCCCAGTGTGTGCGTGTGTGTGTGGGAAACACACGTCCTAGCAGGGGCTCTGCATCCCCCTATCCCAGTGTGTGTGTGTGTGTGTGTGGGAAACACACGTCCTAGCAGGGGCTCTGCATCCCCCTATTCCAGTGTGTGCGTGTGTGTGTGTGGGAAACACACGTCCTAGCAGGGGCTCTGCATCCCCCTATCCCAGTGTGTGTGTGTATGTGTGGTGCGCGCGCGCAGGGGGTGGGTGAGTGGACACGTCCCGGCGGGGCCGATCGGTGGTGGGCTGGGGGCCAGGGGCACCCCCTCCTTCCCCAGGTGGGCTTCCCGCACACCCGTGTCTCCTGGAAGGTGGGGAGCGGCGGGACGGGGGTGGGGCGCGGGGGCCGCAAGCGCCGCGCCTTGGGGGGCGCAGGCCTGCAGGGGGGACCGCGAGGCCCAGGGGGGCTCCAGGCGCGTCCACCCGCCCACCGGCCGCCGCAGACTCTCGCCCCCGGGATTTGGGATTTTTCTTTTCCCCGTAGGAAGGAGACGGGAGGGAGAAACTGAGCCTTGCAGCAGGAGCTGGCGTTGTGGCTCCTCGGAGGAGGACGCGGGGGCGGGAGGAGATGGATTTGGAGCAGGGGCGGGGGAGGCATCGCTGTGTTGGTCCCTCATTTCTGGGGCTCCGACGTGCTGGGCCCGCGGGGTCTGCGCGCTGGCTCTGGGACCCGCGGCCCCCGGCCGAGGTGGATGGATGTCCACAGTGGCAGGCGTGAGGGGTCAGTGGCCTGGGGACTGCGGGGCGCGGACGCGCAGATTCTCCCCCGAGGCCTCTGGCCAGCGCTCGGACTCTGAAAGCGCAGCCCGCCTGCCTTTCTTGGGGGAAGGAGCAGCCCATTTTTCTCTGCCTTAGCCAGGCAGTGGTCTGTGCCCTAGCGCTCTCGGATGCAGTTTCCCTTTAGAACGTTTCCCTGCGATCTGAAATGAGATGCATCTTACTATTAAGAAAAGGGTAATTTACGGAAGCCCTTCGGGTTTTCTACACCCCCCTGGATGCATGCCTCCAATCATTTTTGCTCTTGGGGAGATGCTATGCGTCTTAGGCCTGGTTCTGCTGGCAGAGACCCCATTTTTAGAGAATCTCTTAAAGATTCTTAAATTTTTTTTTTTTTTTTTTGGTGACAACGAGAGCAGACTGAAGAGTACCCATGATAAGGCCTGATGGTTTTGTTATGATGTTTAAGAATCAAACTGAGAAGGGATTAGAATAGGTGATCAGTGGGAACACTATCTTCATATGTATAATGCTTGGGCTGATCAGTAGCAATTATTCAAACAAGAAATGTTTCTTACCTTCAGATAATAAAAGCAGAAAAGGTTTATATAGGTTTTTTTTTTCTCCCCACCCCTTCCCAGAAAAGCTTTATATAGTTTTTTTTTTTTAAATTCATCTCTCCCCAAAGAAGGTATAAAGGTACAGATTTTGCTGACAAAAAACCTGAGTGAAATCTTAGAAAACGTTTTATATAATACATTCTAAAAGGAGTCAGCATGGAGAATAGGAACATTCAAAAATGACCTTTGTGCTGTGAGAGAACAATTTTAAAGGTTATTTCAGAGAAGCTAAGTTATAACGTTTGAGACACACAGATTTGAGCCAATCTAAATACTCGTGATTTTTCTCTTACCTACTTCGTTAGAACCTTTTGTTAGTCGTTAGTTACCGATTGCTGCTCAGAATTTCCTGTTTGTTCCTGGAGATGATGGGAACGGAATGTAACCATTTTGCCATTTTGCTTAAAGTTTAGGAATTAAATTCCTAGGTGAGATTGTTAGGATGTACCATTTGAAAATGAAAACGATTAATTCTTCCACTTGAATATTTGGACTGCATCCAGACTTCGAAATCCCTCTTTGGATGACAAGCTGTGTAAGCCTGGAACTCTGTTCAGCTCCCAGACCCAATCTGGAACAGTGGCTCTCTATATGCACGGTGGAAAAAATGAATCAGTCATTAGCTAAATAACAGCATTTTAAAAGAAAAATATTTGATTCCTTATAAACACAGAACACTTAGATTTAATTACTCGTATGTACATGAACTCAGCAATGTCTAATGGAGTGTGTTTTATAATTCCTTATAAGTGACGGGACCTTTATGTACCCAACGTTCAGAGCAGAACACACCGTCTCCAGCTGTTTCCTTATTTGTACGTAGGGAACATGAGTTTTCACCACTGTATGTATTTCAGGAGTGTTATTTCTCACCACTTCAGAAATAAGTTGTCACACCAGGCTCCCTCCAGAGAAGTGAAAACCCCCTCCATTTTGATCTGTTGAAATATCCTCCACCGTTTTTTTCCCTTCCCCACTTTCCCACTGGCAGCCCTGTTTCTGCTGTCTGAATCCCATATCCATTGTCTTCCGCAATCAACACTAACAAATCATAAAAGGCAGCTCCCTCTCTGCAAGCTTTTAATGGCTGGGAAGGAAGTCAGAAATATTCAGGGAATTGTATTAAAACAGATTCAACTGACTCAAATGTAAAGA